AGTATCATTCAGTTCTTGAAATTCCAATGACACCGCCTACACCATTAGTATTCCAATAATTTAATTGATTGATATCTTATTTTATTGTTTTGGTTTTAAAAAAAATTTTCAAGTCAATTAAAAATGAAAATAATTAATTAATAGGAGTTACACAATATTTTTTGAGTAATTCATATGGAATATTTGGTAAATAAGATGATATGAGTAATGCAGTTGGACATTTTTTAATTTTAAGATAAGTCAAAGTAGATGGAAGATCAAGACGTGTTAATTCTTTACACTTTTGAATTTTAAGTTTACTACATTGTGTTGGAATATCTAAAACTTTAACACCACAATTTAATAAATGAAAATTACAAAGAGAAGAAGGTAATGAAATTGTTTCTATTCCAATACCCATTAATGTTAACTTTTTAAGACTATTAGGTAGTTGTATTGATTTTAGTTTTTTAATATTCTTTATTTTAATGACATCAGATAATTGTTTTGAAAAATTAAATGAATCAAATGAACAGTTGACTGTATCAAGTATTATTTTTTTAGATATTGGTAAATAGTCTTTGATAGATACCTTTTTTAATATAATAAAATCATAAACATATTCTTCAAAAGATGGAAGAATATTACATGAAATAACTTCAATTCCTTTACATTCTTTTAATTTAATTTCTTTAAGTTGTAAAAGATTACTAATATGAATTTCAGAACACCATGCATTAATAGAAGTTAATGACTTACACATTAAAATATTTATTTTATTAATTGGATGTGAAGTATATATAAATGTTGTTAGACTATTTAAGTTAGTTAATTCAACTTCTTTAATTTCATTATTTAAAGTAATGTTTGATAAATCACTACATGCTCCAATACGAACAACTTCTAAATTTTTTAATGTTTTTAAATCTAATTCAAATATTGGAATATTATTAATAAATAAACTTTTTAGACAAGATGGTAAAATACCCAAAGTTAATTCAGGTAATTCAATCAATTCTAATGAAATGAGTTGAATGTCACATAAATTAGTTATTCTTTTTAGTTTAGAACAACCTTCAACAAATAAATGTTCCACATTAGGTGGAAGTGTAATATGTCTAAATGTTTGACATTGTTTTATTTTCATTGTTTTTAAAAGAGGTAATGGTGGAACTGTTAAAGGTTTCCAATCAGAGGCATCAAGATATGTTAGTGTTGTTGGCATTTTTAAAGAAGCTAAACAACTATTTTTACAAAACACAAAATGTTTCAAAGGACATTTTTCAAGACCTTCAATACCAACTAAATTGTTACAAGACCCAATAACTAACTTTTCTACTCCCCTAAGGAAAAGTGAACCTCTTTTTGGTAGTGATAAATTTATTAAATATAATTCTTTAAATGTTAATGGTGCTATAGGTATTGATAATAAATTACCATAAACATAGGCAGTTTCTATTAACCTAGATGTAATAAAATTACCATTTAGAAATGCAACTGAAGCTGGTACAGAAGTACATTCATACATAATACCATTCATTGGTATGTAATTATGAATACACTTTACTTTATTTAATAAAGAAATATCAGAAATTTTAGATGTAACAATAACAGCTTTTGGTAAATGTCTTTGAATTTCTTTTATTGATTCAGAAGTTGGTGAATGAATTTGTACATGAGTTATTTCAGCATTAATAGAAGTAAGTTGTGATAAGAAAGAGACTTGATTTTCTGAATTTAAATGAATAAATAATGATTTTAAATTTAAAGATGGAAGTTCAGAGGGTTGAGAAAAGATATTAAGAGTGAGTTTAGTTAATAAAGGAAAGGTAGTTAGATCAATTAAATATTTTGGGTGAATTGGAATATTTAATGAAATGATATACTGTCGAATTGGCATTAAAGGTGGAAGTAGTGGTGTTGTTGTATTTTGACGAAATAATATTTTAACATCTTTAGGTGGAATAAATGAATTTTTAAAATCCATAGAAATTACTGGAATTACATCTTTAGAATAGTCTGATAATAAAGTAAAAAGAAATCTTGAAGGTAAATATGGTAAATGATCTAATGAACGAATACAATTAAGTATTCTTTTATTTACACACATTAATGAAAAGATGTCAGTTGATTTTAAATATTGAACAATTTGTTTTAAATGAATGTTTTCGACTTTCATGTTTTAACTTTGAACTTTTCTAGTTCGATTAAATTGAACTAACTTTTCAACATAAAAAAAATTTGAGACAAAATGAAGAAGATTAAATTACAAATAAGCTAAATTATTAAAGTACTTCATTACTATGTCTATTTCATCAAATATGAATTTAGTTTCTTTTGCTTCAATCCATAATTGTACATCAATAGATATTTTTTTAATTTTTTCTGCATTCAAACGTTCACCAAAATCTAAAGTTAAAACATCATCATTTCTAATACGATCCAACCAAAAATCTACAACAGGAACTTTAGAAGTAAAAAGAGGTAAAGAACAATAATAAATCCAAAATAGTTCATGTCCATTAATTTCTTTAAAAAATATTTCTAATTTTGAATATAAAGAATAAGAAATCTTCTTTATTTTATTAAATAGAAGAGGATTTGATTTTTTCTTATTTGATAATATATTATAAATTAAATATGCCCCATTAAATTCATTATAAAAAAATAGTCCATGAAATACTGAAATAAAGAAATCAATATCACTTTCTGTTTCTATTAATTGTTCGATATTTTGACTAAAATGTTCCATTGTTTGTTGATATCTTTTAAAACTTGATTTATGTTCATAATAAACTAAATCTTTTACTTCAACCAAATTAAAACATTTATGATCAAATAATGCAATTTGTTCTGCTATAAAGAATGGTTCTAAATTAACAAGAACAATTTTATTAAATGTTTTAATTTCTTGTAAATAATCAACACTTTTCTTTATTTTTTTATTTAATTTTGATAAATCTAATGATTTACCTAATTTAATTTTATATATTTGATTAAATCTATTACGTTCTTTAAAGTCCCCAATAATATTAAATGATTTTGAAAAACGAAGATAATTTGTTGAAATTCCTTGATAAATATTTTCTATAAACTTCCTAAAATCTGTTGGATATGTTGGATTTAAAAGACATTTTAATGTTGTTTTATTTTGAATACTTGGTGAATATATTGAAAAAAGTAATCTACTAATAAAAACAACTTGTTCTTGAAGTAACTTATATTCTATTTCATTTTGTTCTGATAATGCAAATAAAAGGTCAGTGTGTGCACCTGCAATAAATGTACAAACTTCATCAACAGATGAAAATAAATATAAAGAATACATAGCATCAACAATAAAGTCTTTTGGAGCAAATGGATCAACCATATATTCTAATATTTTCATTTTTGAAACTTCTTCAATACTAAATTGGTTATTTAACAAAGGATCTCCTTGAATATCAAAAATACTATTATAATTATAAATTATTTCTTTTATAAAATTATAATTATCCGTTTTACTTCCATGTCCAAAACAACACATTTGAAAGACTGGTAATTTTTCATTAACTTCATCTAATTCTTCATCATTAATACATTTACACATTATTGATAATATTTTTCTTTTAAATTCTTTCATTTGCCATATAATTATTCTAATATCCTTTACTGTTACTTTCCAACAACAATTAAATTTTCCTTCTATTAAAAACATATTTTTCTCAATTAAATGATTAGCTATCTTTACAAATTGAATTTCATTAGTGTTTTGTATTTGTTTCAAAAAAGTAATATATTGTTCATCACTTTTGTTATCTTCAAAGTATATTTCATCTTTACTTTTATCTTGTAATTCTCCAAACAATGACAAGCTTAAAGATAATTTATCTTTTGGACTATTTTGAATTGGCATTCCCCCTAGTCCCTCTGTAGGTGTAGAGGACTTTCTTTTGTGTTGAAACATAAAATAAATATTCAGAGATCCAAATCCATTAAGATTACTTATTTTCTATATCTATTTTAGAATCTTCTGATTTGCTCTGATACTTATTAGTTCTACTATCTACTTGTGATTATTCCTTTCTTAAAATTTATATATCAATTACACTCATTCATAATTTTTAACTTTTTAATACTGTTTTTTATTTAATTCTCTTTCTTTTTAACATAATTTTATTATTTATTTAACATCAAAAAAATAATTATAAAATATCAATACTCCTAAAAAGTTATTTAAAGCTTGTTAAAGGAGACAATATCAACTGATTGGACATAATCTTCAAGTCCTTCAATTTCTTCTTGAACAGATTCAGTATCAACTGAATCTAAAACATTGCAGATAATAGTAAGTTTCTTAATACCATAAGCAACGTCTTTTCTTTCTGATCCTTTCCATTCAAGTCCTTCTCTAGAAATAGCTCTGACGGCTGCTTCCATTTCATCAAGATTTGTATCTTCTCCCCATGGTTTAATATCATAAACAATTTGAGATTGTCCAACTGGTTCAGCTTTTTTAGCAGCTTCTTTGGCTTCCTTTCTTTTCTTTTCAGCTTCAATTTCTTCTGGGGTCATTTCTCCAAATAAGTCCATATCGTCAGCCATTTTTCTTCCTTTAACTAAACTATTTAGTTCTAGATGTTGTAAAAACTAGGTTATAATTTCATTTCCACTTTTCCTAAGCATTTATACGATAATTTATTTCTTTACTTCATTCTTTCATTCTTATTGTTCTATTTTTAAATTTTAGGGTTTATAATTCTATTGATAATCACAAAAAGATCATTAAATAATTGAATATTCCTTACTTTCTCTCTCTATCATATTTATTGTAGTAGAAAGTCTTTTTTTTAAACCCATTAATTTGATAGATATTAGTACTTTTAATCTTAAATTATTTATTAAAAAGAGTTTTATAATTTGGTCATTTGGTTCTATCTTATTTGATTAATTATTTTATGTCTCAACGAAGTATGTCATTTATTATCAAAAATTTTTATTGTATAAAATCTCTTTATATTTCTTTCACAATTTATAAAAGTAAAGAAGTATAACAAATTTCTAATTCGTTTATTGTAATTTTTGTTTAGGACTTTCATAGAGTCTTTTATAAACAATTTACATCGAGTGGTAGTTTTAATACATAAAGAATATAAATAATTTGATAAATTAAATAAATTTCTAGTTTTTCTAAAAATTAACTAAGGAAAAAATTTAAAAACAATTTTCTTGTTGCTGTGAATTTTCCAAAACTTATAAAAACTTTAATGTATAAAAGAGAAATAATGGACGGAGAACAACAAACCCCTTCTATTAATAATAATACTAATAATAATGAACAATCCTTTAGTTCTGGACTTGGAGTCACTTCAACAGGCATTCCAGTATTTGTAGAAGTTTGTTAGCTAATACTTTTTTTAAATAAACAATAATTATAACAAAATAAATAGGCATTTTTATCATCATTCTTTGTATTGAGTTCTGCTATTCTTTTCTTTGTAGAAAAGACAAATGTTTATTGCAGATCAGTTGCTCTTCAAGGAGTAATTTGGTTCTTTGTTTTATTTATTGCAGCATTCCCTTTCTATTTGACTTGTATTGCTTTTGGTGGATTTTTTGAAGTTGTAATGATGCTTTATGTTTTGTTCTATCTCATATTCAAAATATTCCTTATTGTCATTGCTCTTCTTCGTGCTCGTTCAGAAGTCTTCTTTGCTATTCCCCCATTTGGTCATCTCATCAACAAATATGCTGCTACTTCTGACTAATATAATTCTTTTCGATTCCATTAATTGTCTTTTCATTTTATATATAAAAGATGATAAAGATTTTTAAGATAAAAAAAGAAAAAACCCTGAAAATAAAACCTCACTAACAACCGTTCGCTAGTTACTTAACTAATTAAACGCAATAATTCACTTAGAAACGAAGTTTAGTAAATAACCATGATTCTTTACCTTTTCTGTATTCTTCAGCAAATTGGGAAGAAATAGCCTTCTTTTGTGAAATTGGATAAACTTTACCAGCTTCAAAATTACTAATTTTAACTTGTTTAATGAGACTGAATTGTTCAAGATTAACTGTGTATTTAGTTGGCATTACGTGATTAACATTAATAACCTTGCAGAATGACTTAACTGAAGTTCTCATTTGTTGAACTTTTGCAGACATTTTTCTAGTGATCTTTAATGGAGCTCTTTCAACTCCAACTACAGTGACAAATCCATATTTTCTGTCTTTGGTTCCTTGAAGGTTAACTGAAGAAACAACAGCTTTTTTACCAGCGAATCTTCCTGAGAGAATGATAACAACACGACCTGGTGCAAGGATCTTGCTCATGCTACTCTCTTGTATTCTTTTTTCTAGTTCAGAAGGGTATTTAAGAAAATCCTGGGGTTTTATTGTTTAGTTTTAGACTAATTTTTTTTAATTATTCTTAAGAATTTGTTTTTTCATTTTTTATTATTTTTATTTTTTATGTTTTTTTTAAACTTAAATAACATTTTTATTTGACTCTTCTTGTTTTCTCTTATTCCTTTCAATTAAATACTAGTAGATCTTTAAAATAATTAACATGTGCGAAATTCCATTATTCATTAATGACTCTTCTTTCTTTTCTCAAATGACAACTTTTATGAATTCAATTGAACGTAGTATTTCAGCATCAAATAAATTTGTTCACTCTGATATTATTACTCAAATAAACAAACCATTTGTTGTTATTAATGTTGATTCTCCAAAATCACATTCCTTCCTTTTTCCTGGAATGACATTATTTGATACTGCTATTAATGTGATAAGTAAATATTATAAATCAAAAGGAACATTATTCTTTCATTCAATACCTCTTTCTAATTGTTCACTAACACTAAACCAAATGTATATTTCACCTTCTGATCATTTCGAGTTTCGAACAGAAAATAACTCTGGTTTCTCAAAAGAAATCAATGAATTTTCAAATGAATATGGTATTTCACCTCAAAAAGTTCAAAAGTATATTGACAAAGGTATAATCACAGAGTCAATGTTAATCAATAAAGAGAGTTCTAATAATGAAAAGTTGTTGTTTGACAAATCTATTAAAAAGTTTAAAGAAAATCCTTTTCTTCTTCCAGAAATAAATAATATTGATTATATTAAACAACCATTTCCAACTTATGTTAATGCAATGTTGAAATATGACTATGATGGCACTAAAATTGACCAATACCTTTATACTGTTAGATTTATTCCTGTACTATTTGGAGTTACTAAACAAAATGTTTTTGATTTTATCAATACTGATAATATATTAACTTTACCTGGTTGTTTGATTATTCTTCCAACATTAATTGAATGTCTAAACACTTCAAAAAAACTTGATGACAAAGCATCTTTTATAAATAGTGAATTAGTTTCAACATTTTATGAAACTTTAAAAATAATTATTTCTAATCCTTGTTTATCAGAAGTTGAAATTCTTCAAATTTCATTATATTCATTATTTATTTATGTTACATCAATATTGCTTAATCTTCAAATTCCTACTATTTATTCATCATCATCTGTTTATTTTTCAACACCACTTTCATTACTTTTAACTCCTGAAAATTATTTAAATATTTATAAACATTTTAATTCAACTCAATCAATAGAAATGAAAGATTCATATTATTGTTATTTTATTCGTACACACCAACACCAAGAACAGATAGCTAAAATACTTACTCATCTTGAAAGTCCAATTTTAAGAATTTTGTTATTAGAAGATAATCCAATTCATGACATTCAGTCATACTTCCCTTCAACACAATTAGAAATTGATAAAACAGATTATTGCAATGGACTCCATTTCTTTCAACCTAACTCAACAATTATACCATCATTTTTATATGCATTTATGTCTACTGAACTTGTTATAAATAAACCTGAAAGTTCAATTCAATTAGTTACTGAAGGATTAAAAAAGTTACAACAAACAATCAATAATAATCCAATTCAAATAATTAGTGTAGGATATTTTAGCTCATTATTTAAACAGTTACAAAGAAAAGAAGAAGACGAGTTAAATAGTTTAGAAGAAACTAAAACAAAAGGTACATTAAGTTTAATATCTTGTTTAGAACTATTTCTAGAATGGGTTGGTGGTACAAAATATATTAAGAATTTTTCATTATATCATTCATTTAATCCTTCAATCCAACTCATACCAGATAATTCACAAACAAAATATGCATTATTAGTACATCAAAATACTAGTTTTTCTTTATTTATTAAAAGAGAGATTATTCCTAAAGATTACTTTATTGTTGGAGTGATGCCAAATATTTCTGAAGAATTTCCGCTTCAATTCACAAATGATGGATGTAAATATCAACTAAATTCTGGTGTGTTTGGAACAGGAGATAGATATCGTGCAGTCATTAGAACGAATGGAGAATATATTATTTGTGAAAATAATTTACAGGTAAAGATTAGTGAATTAGAATTAAAATTAGCGTTATCTGGAATGGCATCTTATACACCACAAATTTTGATTTATAGAAAATTACCGTTATTTAATGTTCCAAGACTTCCATATCCATTATCATATATTCCGTTAATGAAAGAAGTTATTATCAATCAAGGAGATATTTATCTTTTAATAGATATGGAGAAAAGGTATAAAAATGTTAACAAACAAGACTCATATCGTTATTTAAAGAAAAGGTTATTAAATGAAATTAATCCATTTGAATATCTCAATAGTATTGATTGGTGTGCTAATGACGCAAAATTATTTAGAAAATTTCTTAGAGAAGCAGCAATAAAAAATCCAAAAAATGCATTACCGTTGTTTAAACTACAATTTCTACAAACTAGTAATCCAGAAGTATTAAATGATATTACTGATATTGCTGCTTCTTCTATACCAGAATTATCATATCAATGTATAGGATCAGAGTTATTAGATTCTATTTTATCTATTCCATTAACAAACTCTTTTGAAAGTTCAGAATCAGTAATTCCATTTACAAGATTTCTTCGAGTATTTTTACCATATACATTAGTTAATAGTGAAGAAGGAAATCCATTTAGACATTCAAATCCTATAGAAATTAAATCAATAAGTCTAAATACTAATATTTTAAAAATAATGTTATTAAGAGATGAAAAAGATGCATCTGTTGTTCTTAATTATTTATCATGGAATAATATGGCATGGACAGAAAGTATATTAACAATGCTTGAAATAGGAATGTTAGATGATTTGAATTCAAATATATATATTCATTATGCATGGGAAATGTTTGGACTAGAAGATAATTTAAAAAGTAAAAGAGTAGAATGGTTAAAAAAGAAATTACAAAATTATGAAATCAATTGTTTTGAAATTGCTGGAATTACAGTTGAAGTTATTGGTGGAAATAAAGAGTTATTACAAAATTGTAGAAGTGTAATATTAAAAGAACTTCTTAATAAATATCCAAGTGCTAATAAATTAAAACAAATGAGTTATGAAATGATAATAGAAAAGAAAGACTCAAAAGAATTTAATGACTTTAAAGATACTCGAATATTCAAAACACTTATTAAATGCTTAAATAGTATTAATAAAATGGAACAAGATTTCCAATTACCAGTTTGTATTGAACGAAGTATTAATAAAATGGCATGTGTTCAACTTCAAGCAATTCAATTAAATAAACAAATTCATAATAATGAATAATATACCAAATTAAATGACTTTTATTTTTTTATTAATTTGATTTTATTAATTAAAAAAACTATTATTATTATCAAAATAAAAAAAATGAAACTAAAAAATAAATAATTAGAAAGTACAAAGAATATGCAAGACAGTATGATTAATAACAATGATTTATTAAATGAAATACAAGAACTAATACTTCAAATTGAAATAGAAGCAGATAAAAACCAAAGATTTAATATGGAATATACTAGATTATTAAAATTAAAAAAAGAAAATTATGATTTTAATTATTTGATTGGAAAACAAAAAATAGAAGAAGAATATAATTCATTAGTATTAGAAAAACAACAATTAGACATTTTAATTAATAGAAAAAGATTTGAATTTAGAGGGTTGTCTAATATTCCTGATAATGGAATTCCTTTGGAACGTTTACTTGAATCAAAAAAGAGTACAATAATGAAAGTGTGTGGGATGATTAAAGATAAAGAATTAAAATTTAGTTCTATAAAAGATGAATGGTTTGATCTTAAGAAAAAAACAAAAAATATTTTACATCGTCTTTTTGTTATTAAAACAATTCGAAATAATGTTTTTTGTATTTATTTAAATATGGATACTAAAGATGAAATATTTAAATGTGTATTTATCTCTCTTATTTCTTTTATCCCTCTTAAAAAAGACAATTTTGAATTAGAAAAAATTTATTCTTCAACAAATGATAATTTAAATATAGGTGGGTTTGTTGTACAATATCTTAATAATTCCATTGTACAAAGTCCTTATCCTGATTTTATACCTCTGACTGAAATTAGAGAAATGCAAATATTTAAATTAATATTTTAATTTGATTTTTGGATAATTTATTTGTTTGTCTTTTATTATTTTATTATTATTTTAATATTTTTTTTTTTCATTTTATTATTCATTAAATTAAATTTATTTCATTTCATCTGGAAATATTTTGTTTTTTAAACTTATAATAAGTTTATTGCTTTGTTTAATAAATAATAATTAAAATAAAGTTAATGTTCAATTTATTTGAACCATTAGTTATACTTAGAAATATTGGTAATATTGGGTATTTCATTATAGGAAATAATAAAGATAAAAGAGATAATATTCAATAAAATATGTTGAGTCAAATTAAAAAATAAAAAACAAAATCAATAAATCTAAGTTATAGAAATACTATAAATTAATTGTATTTATTATATAAAAGAAAAATTCTTAATAGATAAAATCTTATTCTTTGTATTAAAAAGACATAAGAATAATAAGTTTTTCATTAAAAAAAATAATTTAATAATATTAATATCATTTAAAGTGAATTGAATAAAATGAAATAAGAAGAAAAGGTATAAATAAAAAGAAATAAAAAAGATAAATCAATTTTAAGTAATACGTAAACACTAACATTTTTGATTAATGAATAATGTTTTTAAATCAAGTAGCTATTTTTTTCCATTTTTCTTTTAAATTAAAAGAAACCCTTTTCTTAAATATATAGAGTAGTAAATATATTAAAAAGAATAGTTTAATTGATTAAATGAAATACATTTGAAAAAGGAAAAAATTTGTGAAATGAAAGTAATCAAAAAGAAAAAAGCTTATAAAGAAAAAAGAACTTAAAACCCTTCAAATAATGCTTCTTGCAATTATTCTTTTAATATCATTGTCTTATGGACATACAAGTAGTATGAATGTTCCTTCTGTTTTGTTGCCATATCCAACAAAACAACATTCAATTGATTATACCATTGAAGCAACAAATGGATGTTTTCAATGGAGCACATCAAATCCAACTGTTTCTACACTTTATCCTATTGGTGGAAAATGTTCTACACAATGTAAAATTTCTGTTCAACCTACAACAAAGAAAGGAAGACAATCATTTTGGGTATATGCTGTTGATGAATTACAACATGTTAATTTAAGAACAGAAGTAACTATCGATTCTATTAATCGTATTGATGTTGTTACTACAACTCGTTTGATGAATAAAGATGATTATGAAGTTCTTGAAATTGCTGGATATGATGCTATTGGTAATAAATTTTCAACATTAGAAGGTATTCCAGTGACATGGTCTATTGATAGTGTTAATGGGACAAAAGGAAATGGAGGAGATTATGTTAGAATTGAAAAATTTTCAACTGCTGGACATACCCTTAAATTAAAAGCTAGTGAAACTATTTTAGATATGGAAAGATATCATCTTTCTACTTCAAAAGTTCTTGTTAAAGGTTTAGAACTTGGTAAAGCACAAATGACTGCACAATTAACTGAAGAACCAACTAAAGTATCATCTGTTATTCTTACTGTTTTGCAAATTCTTGTAGTTCTTCCAGAAAAAGATTTATATGTTCTTCCAAATACTAAAATACCTTATCAAGTATTTACTACTAAAAGAAATGAACTTGGTCCTCAAATTGTTATGCCAAATCCAAATTATAAATGGGTTAGTTATAATGAAGATATTGTTTCTATTCAACAAAATGGATTAGCTTCTGCATATAAAAATGGAAAAGCAGTTATTTCAGTTATGTACATTGAAACACCAGAATCAATCCAAAAAAGAACAATTAATGTAGTTTCTCCTTATAAAGTTAGATTAGTATGGAAAGAAATTAGAGGTGTTTGGCAATGGATTGAAGGAAAGACGTATGAGGTTAAACCAGAGTTAGTTGATAGTCATGGAAATGCTATTTCTTATGTTAGTAATGCTGAATATAAAATTACATTAAATGGAGGAATTAAAGTTATTTCAAATGAGCCAGGATATACTTCATTTATTGTTGCTACTGAAAAAGAAGGAAGAGCTTCAATAAGTGCATCATTTGTAAAAGGAAATGGATTTTCTGTAAGAGGAAATAGTGTTTATTGTATTCAAGATATTATTATTTCCCAACAAGTTATTGCTTCACCTAAAAAATTAAAACTAGCAGTTCCAGGTACTGCAGGATGTAAAATTATTGCACATGGAGGACATGGAGAGTATGTATATTCAGTAAATGGGGAGTCAGTTGCTGTTACTAATGATGGAGTTGTTTTCCCAAGAAGTGCAGGTAAAGTGAATGTTACAGTTAGTGATTCTAGAAATAGTGAAAATTTTGATATTGTCATTGTAGAAGCATCTGAAGTTGCTTCAATTGAAATTGGAAATGATGTGGCTGAAGTTATTGTTGGAGGTACATTAAATTTCACTGCTCTTGCAAGAGATACTGATGGTATTTATTTTGATACATGTTCTTCTGCTGCTGTAAATTGGAAAGTAATGCAACCAGAAATATTTCAATTAAAAACAAATTCAACATCACAAAAAGCTGAAATTTTAGCAAGTAAATCAGGATCTACTACTCTTGTTGCTACTTATGGAAAAGGAATTGCTGAAGTTCAAGTATTTGCATATGAAAAATTACAATTATCATATAAAAGTTCAAGAGATCCACATATTGTTAAAGCATCTGGATTTAAAATTTCATATGAAGGAGGACCTCTTCCTTGGTATTTAAATAAAGGACTTTATTTTACTAATATTACACTTAGAAATAGAATTGCAGATGTTTATAATATGGGAAATAATCAATTATTCTTTGTTTGTAAAGAATATGGTAAATCAATGGTTATGATCACAGTTGGAAATAAAATAGGAAAAACTCATAATTATACTGTTCATACTTCTGCTAAAATGGAGTTTACTTGTAGTGAGCCATCAGTTCTTATGCTAACTACACAAGAAGTTTATGAAAGTGATAATACTGGAAAGGAAATTGTTACTAATAATGTTCCAGGAATTTGTAGAGAACGAGCTGTAAGTGGAAGTGATAGTGTTACAAGTGAAATGACAGTAAGAGTTGGAGAAGAACTTGATTTAATTGGATATGTTAAACCATCAGTTACTGGAATGTTTACTAATTCATCTTCTGTTGAGTATGTATGGTCAACATCTGATAGACATATGTTATCAATAAGCAGACAAATTAATAAAGAAGATCATTCTTCAATTCATGTTTCAGTTGGGGATAGTATTGGAAAGGTTGAACTTAGACTTACTGCAATAAAATATCAAAAGAAATACTTCAACAATGCAAGAATGTCTGGTAAACTTGATATTAATAATAATTTGATAAGAACTATTACATTAAATGTTGTAGATGTTGTTAGTGTTTCTCCAAAAGTAGTTACTCTCTTTAATCATCCTGATAATTTTGTTAAATTAATTGCATCAAGTGGAAGTGGATTTTACAACTTTACTACAGATACACCAAATAATGTTATGATTGAACATTATGGAACCGACTCTAGTTGTATTGTTAGACCAAGAAATGAGTCAAATACTTACATTGTTGCTAATGATGTTTGTTTTACTGGAAAGAATGATGAGGCACGAGTTGTCGTAACTGTTTCAGATATACATGGAGTAAATATTATTGTTACAGATCAAATTGAAATAGGAGAGACTTCTGAATTGACATTTGAAGCTATTGATGTTAATGGTCAACCATTTGATGAGTCACAGTACAAGTTTATGGATATTAAAGTAACAACTGATAATTCTAATGTGTTCTTAGAAAAGAAAGGTATTAAAAAATATTCTATTACTGGATCTACTGTTGGAATGGCTATGATTGTTGTTACTATTAATAATGTTCAATCAAAACCATCAAGTGTTATTATATATGAACATTTTTCATGTACTCCAAAAGAAATTAACTTAATTCCACTTGCACAAGAAGATATAAAGTGTCGTGGAGGACCTCCACTTAGATCTACTGTTTCTCATGTTATTCTTAGTGGAAATGCTGTACAATTAAATGGAGATAAAGTTATTGGAGAAATTAAAGGAAGATCAGTTATTGAAAGTAGAATATCATTTATTGAATTACTAAGTGGTGAAAAGAGAGAAAAAGGAAAAGAAAATTGTGAGGTTATTGTAAGACATTTGACTGGATTACGAATGGATGCACATCAAACAACTCTTGAAGTTGGAGGACAAACAAAAATTCGAGTTATTGGAGAAGCTGATGGAGTTCCTGTTAGTATTGCTGCAACTCAATTAGATTTTTCATGGAGTCAAAGTGATGATATACCCTTAGAAATATTATCCGTGTATCATAAAACTAATATTACTGCAAATGAAGAAATGTCACACACTGTTCTGTTAATGGCTAAGAAAGCTGGTCAAACTCGAGTTAATGTAAAAATAGTCAATATCCAAAAAGGATTACCTTCAGCTTATAAACAATTGTCTGCTTCTATTTTGATTCATGTTGTTGATCCATTTTCTTCATTATGTGCTGGAAGATGTAGAAATGTTATTGATATGGCTGTACATTCTACTACACAAATTATAACTAACCGTGAACCTTCAGAAGTTACATTCCAAATATGTGAGGGATCTGATATTATTACTGTTGATGCAGCTGGAATTGTCAAGTCTCATGGAACACCAGGGTCTGCTGTTGTTCATGTTGTTGAAAGTGAAACAGGAGAAACATTAAGTTATGTTGTAAAAGTACATAGAATTCATGCAATAGAATTGTTACCATTATATAGTTCAAATGGATTATCAGTTGGAGAAACAATGAAATTTGAAATGATACCAATTGGAGATAGAGGAAGGGTATTGAAACCATCATATGATAAGTTAGTTCAATTTGACTTAATTCCAAGTGGATCAGCATCAATTATTCAAAGTAGTAATTTGAGTGTTGTTGAAGTTACTGCTGCTAAGCCAGGAAGAGTTATTGTTAGAGTTAGAAGTTCTGAAGGTGTTAGATTACAAGATGAAGTTAGAGTTACTGTTCATCATTCTGTTTCACCAATTAATCCAGTTGTTACTGTTGGAAGTGAAATTAGATTCAAAACTGCTGGAGAAGCTAAATGGACAACAGAATCTAGAAATATTATTTCTATTGACTCTAATGGTAGGGCTGTAGCTAAGTCTATTGGTAGAACAGTTGTAATGACCACATCATCAACCCCAGCACAAACAAGAGTTAGTGTATCACCATTAGAAAGTGCATCATTAGAACCTGCTACAGTTGGTTCAGGAAGAGTTCTTATTCCAGTGACGTTGTATGCAGAAGCTGGTATGGTAACACAACAAAGTAATGTTGATCTTAATCTAAATGCTTATTGTTCTATAGACCAATCAACATGGGCACATGCATCTGTAGAAGTTGTTGATGGAAAAATTTATTGTTCTGTTGTTGCAGTACCAACCACCTCAGGTAAAGTTCCTAATCAAGTTAAGTTAAGATTTAATGCAAAGGATGGTTTTGGAAAAGCTGTCCAAGCTGTTGCTATATTGCCATTTAGAGCTGGTATTGTTGCTAAACCAGGAAATCTAAAAATTAAAACAGGAGAAGAAGCTAATTTAGATATATTCAGAGCTAAAGGAGATGTCATTGTTCGTGATTTAACTGGAAAGTTACAAATTAGAGAAGTTACAAGAAGTGATGGAAGTGCTTCATTTGTTGTTAGAGGAATGGAAAATGTTAAAGGAGATATTGAAATACTTGATGGAACTGAAACGCTTAAAGTTTTTGTTGAAGTCGGAGAGATTAAAGAACGAAAACTTGGAAGAACATCTGCTAATGCTTTAGGACCAATTGTTATAGCAATCATTTCAATTATACTTGCATCATTAGTATTCTTCTTATGTCAAAGAAGAACTGATAATGGTCCTGCACAATATAATCCAGGATATGGATATTATAACCCACAACAACAATACCGATATTGAATAAAGTAAGATTGATGATTTTTTATTGGTTTTGTTAAAATGATTTCTTTTTGAAAAAAAAAATAATCATCTCAGAAGATCAACTTTGAGATTGGATGAGTTGGAATTTTTTTTGCAATACTACAAAATGAACTAATCAAAACTATCAAAAACTTGTTTAAAAAATTAAAAATAGAAAAATAAAAAATATTTTATTTAAATGTCAACATCTAGATCACCACATCATTTCAGTGTTCTTAATCCTTTTCGTAGAAAAGGAGGTGATGAAAAAGAAGGAGATGAAAAAGGTGATAAAGAAGAGTTTAGTCCAAAAGTCAAAGAAGAAAAAAAAGAGAAAAAAAAAGAAGAAAAAAAAGAAAAAGAAAGAGAGAAGAAGGAACGTAAAGAAGAAAAGAAAAAGAAAGGGAGTGAAGAAAACATTTTAGATGATTTTCTCAGAAAAGCAAGAATTCAAAAACAAAAAACTCACGAAGAAATTTTTGTTCCTGAAGAAAAAACTAAAAAAGAAAATAAAGACATAGTTGAAACAAAAAAAGATGAAACGAAAGAAGAGAGTCTTTGTATTGCGAAAGGATTAGACCCAAACGAAAATAAAGAAGATATTTTGAAAGATCAAAAAGAAAATGTTAAGAAAGAAAAAGACATTGAAATAAAAGAAGAGTCGTTAACAGCAGAAACAGACACTGAAAAATTAAAAAATCACGAAGAAAACTTAACAATTAAACAAGAAGATAAGAAAGACAAATGCTTAGAAAAACAAAGTCGATTAGAACAAACAACAAAAAAAATTAAGTCTATGATTTTTATGAAAGAGCCTAGTCATAAAAATGAAGAAAAACCAAGAGAAGATGAAGAAATAGTTAGTAATGTCGATGACATACAAAAAGATGTGAGAGTTGTTATTGAAAGTGTACCAAAGAAAAAAAAGAAAAAAACAAATTTTGTCAAAGAACGATTAAGAAGAAGTGGATTAAAAAGTCATGCAAGTGGAGTGTCAACATCACATATGAATTCAGATGATGTTACTGATAGATTTTTTATTACTGATGAATTGCCTTCATTTAGAAAAGAACAGTTTAACGTTACATGGGATGGATTTACTAAAGAACAAAAAGAGTCAATGTTTGAAACTAAAGGAACATTTATTGAGTATTTAGATCGTTTTGAAAAAGAGTCAAAAGATCAAATCATTTATATTGAAGACAATTATCAAATTAAATTCGATGATTTATATAGAAATGCTAAAGTATTTGCTAAGTCTTTAATGTGTATTGATGTTTCTGTTAAACAGCCAAGTGTTATGATTATTATGGAAAATGGAATACATTCAATTACTTCTGCACTTGGAGTTATGCTTGCTGGAATGTCAGCTGTTTATGTTCATCCAGGTTCATCAATTGAAATGTTAAAATTAATTATTAACAAGTCTAATGTTAGAATTTGTTTGTTAGACCATACATCAATGTCATTCAGTGATTTATGGGATATATTTGATATAATTTTAATTAATGTAGAAGGAGAATATAAAGAAATATATGAACCATATGAATTTAAAGGAACAACAGAAATTAATAATAAATTAAGACATAAATTAACTCAAAAAATGGTAGAAAAAATTCACCCTAAAGCACAACCTCAATTTTATGATGCTGAAAATGGAGAAATTAGCATTGAAACAGAAAATGAATGTGTGTTTACTCTTGAAAGTTTTTTATCAAGATCTACGTCTGTTCCTGATGAAATGTTTTATAAAAAAATTAATTCTATTACTACAAATTCTATTGTTGAAATTGTTTTTGTTCCATCAAAACATGGAGGATATAAAGGAATAATTTGGACACAAGGGAATGTTTTATCTCAAACAAATCAAATTATTACATTATTTTCACTGAATAATAAAACACGAATATTACACCATTTACCAAATAGTTATTATTTAGAAAGATTATTTTGTTTTTATATTCCAATTATTACAAGATGTTCTGTTTCAGTTATTGATTCAACAAGTACAAGAGGTTTAATGATACCTTTTTTAAAAGCACTTGAACGACATAGACCTTCTTTATTATTTTCTACACCACGTGTATTTGAAAAATTAAATAAAATTGTTAAACAAAAGAAAATAACAAAAAAATGTATTTGTGTTTCAACTTATCTTGCAAAGTCAACTCAAGCTATTTCAATTTATACTGGAATTTGTTCTCCTGAAGCATGTGGTTTTGTTACAATGAATAGACCTGGATGCATTGAAGAAAATACTGCTGGTCCTGCACTTGATGATATGCATACCCAAGTTAATAATGGAAAATTAAGAGTATGGGGACCTTCAGTAACTCCAGGATATGTAAGTGGAGATGTTAGAGGAAAAAAAGGAGTTTTATTAAATCCAATAGTTGAAATGATTAATGTTGATGGTACTAAAATATATTCAGTTATTGGTAAAGTCTCTCCAACTATTGTTACTTCTAATGACGTTATTTTACATTGTCCAATTATTGAAGACTTAATACGAAAAATTCAAACAATAGATAATTGTCTTGTTGTTGGTGATGGAAAGAGATGTGCTGGAGCATTACTTACAGTAAAAGAAAATGAAGTACAAAAAGCATTTGGACCAGGTGATGTTAGAAGAAATAGTGAATATATGAAATGGTTAAAAAAGAGGGTTGTTGATCTTATGGCAGTTTTTCCATCATATATGAGGATTAAAAGATTTATTATTGTAAAAGACAATATTACTGATGAATTTCCAATTCAAATTAAACCCCATTTAACAAATGAAGAAAGAATTCGACTTTATAACAAATTTAAAAAAGCAATTGATATGATGTATCCAAATGAACCTTATTGTGAAAAATAATTACTTAATTGAATCATGTTTATGTATTATTTATTTGGTTGTGGTGCAAAGATCAGACTATTTCCATCAAATATATTTGGAATGAATTTTACTTCTTTTGTAAGATCAACTTTTCTTCTATCTTTCCACACTGTATAGTTAAATGCAGTAAATGCCTATATGTTATAAATAAGTTTAACAAAAAAAATACAATGAATAAACAAACTACTGAATATTGTTTATGAGTTTTATCTGGTTGAGAGACAAAGATATCTTTTAACTTTTTAAATGATGAATATGTCAAAAAACTATATGTGCAATAATCATTTTTAATAAAGCAAGAATCAGTAACCATGATATATTCTAATTCATATTGTGATAATTCATTAAATTCAATTGTTTCTATAAATATATTATCTTCACTAAAATGATTAAATAAAACTTGGTATTGTCTCCAATTTATTGCATTTCTTACTTTAATTGTATAAAAACCTGTTTTATCACAAAATATTGAATCATAACATCGTAATTTTGTTGCATTATAATTCACATACAATTCATTTTTCTTATAGTCATGTGAAGGGTTGTCATTTAACCAATCTACAGAACCTCTTGAATTGGGACATACAGATGTTTCAACTTCAATAGAAACATTTCCAGTATAATATGTTAGTGAATGAAGACCTCCATGAATAATAAATCCTCCACCAGCAAATGTATCATCCCAACCAACAACACAATATGTTTTAATTCCAATATTTGTTATGTCATTAGTTACATGAAATGTTCTTCCAGACTCAACTGGAATTTTAAAATCATATCCATTAATTTCAACATTATTGACTGCATCTGTTAATGTTAAAAGAACTGGTGAAATTCTAAGTAAATCCTTTGCTTCATTAATACTATACACACTTTTAATTGACTCTATTGTGACATACAATCCTTGTTGTTCTGTTTCATTATAATGATACGTGTAGAGACCATCAAATAACCGTGGAACTGACCTTGAAATTGATTGAATTAATGAATTATTTAATGCTAATGAAATATCATTATTAAGAACAGCATTGTTTGGAAGTGACTGATGATAAAACAAAGAAAGAATTGGACAGGTGAGTGTATCACAATATAATGGATATGCATGAGGTGAATAATATTTTTGTTTCCAAAACGTTCCATTTGGTACTTTTTCTGTGAGAGGAATAATAATTGAATTATTTGTAAAAAATATCACTAAAACTAAAATTGAACCTGTTGACATAGTAATTGCAAATAATATACTAAGAAGCAAATAAGATTTTGAACTACCTTCTGTTATTTTATTATTATCATTAAATTGTTTGTACTTGCTGTTATTCATTTTTGTTTTTAAAAACAATATATTTTTTAGTTCCTATTCCTTTTTTTTTTAATTTTTTGTTATATTTCTTTTGTTAAACATAATTTACTTATTTGATATTTATTTTTCATTATTTATTCCAGTTTTTACTTCCTTTTATATTATATTATATTTAATGTATATCAATATCAAAAAGCATCTCTCCATTTTTTTTTTTTTTGAACAAATCTTGGTATTATTTTCATAGTCCCATGCATTAAAAGATTATAATAATAATATGTTATTTAAAAATTTTACAACAAAACAAAAAACAATTGGTATGCTGTTTTTTTCAACACTTGTGTTTTCTTTGAAAAATAAAATCATTTTAATTGAAAAAGACTCATTAATACAAATATATGTCAAATAGATACTTTGATTTAATTTTCTAAAAAGTTGAATATAATAAAAACTGTAACAAAACAAATTATTCAGAATAGTCGATCTAAACAATTAAATAAAAATAGATTTTTCTAATAGAAAACTGAAAATAAAAAAAAATATCTTCAAAATAAAACCATTAAAAAAAAAGAAATTAGAAAAATATAAATAAAAAAACTAAAAAAAAATAAACAAAAGTTGGAAAAGATGAGTGAAAGTTATTATGAACAATATTTAAGATCAAATAATCCTAATGAATTTAAAGAACTAAAAAAAAGGTTAGAAGAAAGTAATGATGAAGGAGAACAAAAAGTGATTAATCAAAGTAATATTGCTTTATTAGAATTACTTACATCTCAAGATTACAACCAATACATTACAACTATTCTTCCATTAGAAACAAGTGAACCTACGTATTTATTATACAATAAAGCTGTAGGGTTATTAAGGGTAGGGAAACCAACTGATGCATTATCTTTTCTATCAGAGTCTTCAAATCGTGAAGAAGAGTCTCAAATTAAATTATTATCATTGATATTATATTATTGTATTGTTAGTTCAATGGGTTCAATAACATTTAATTTAGAACGAATTACAGATGAATTTATTAATCCAATTTATGTTCCAGGAACAATTAATTATATTGAATCACAATTGATATTAATGAAAAAATCAATTCATGAAAATAATATCCCTCAAGCAATTTCACATATTAATTGTGTTTGTAATTCATGTCGTGACATTACTCGAAAACCTTATTATCAAGCACTTTTTTGTTATTTAAATAATGACTTTGATGGGGCACGTGATGCATTATACCAAGGAGAATCTCCTTTAAAAGATATTGGAAATGCTTGTACTTTTGCTCGTTCAGGAAAACCAGCTGTAGCAATATATATGTTACAAAAGGCTTTTCATTGTTTTGACCATAAAGATGAACCAATGAAAAGTTCATTAGAAGAGCCTGCAACAACATTATATCCTATTGGATGGAAACAAACAACAACATATAATTTAGGTCTTTGTTATCTGTTAGAAAATAAACCTATTGAAGCTCATGCTGCACTTATTACATTAGTAGATTACTATAGGTATAATCCATTGTTATGGTACCGATTAGCATGTTCTTGCATTCAATATCATTATAATTACATTAAGAATGCACAAATGAAATATCAATATGTGGGTACAGCATCTGCTCGTCATGTATTATTAATTCAACAACCATTAAGTCCAGAAAATTCACAATTACCATTATCTCTTGGAATGCAATATATTCGAAATATGACAACTTTATTACGAACTAATTCAGAAAGTTCAGTAAATCATAAATTAGTATTGGCTATGTATTATGCAATGGGGTATATAAGTTATTGGAGTGGTGATTATCTTTTAGCTAAATATTGTTGGGAAAAAGTTTATGCATCTAAGAATAATCAACTCCGAATTTCTGCATTATCATATTTAGTTAAAACGTATTGTTTTCTTCAATTACCTAAAGAATCAGAAAAAATTCTTCAAGACTTTTTTGTTTCAAAACCACAAGAAAATAATGAAGATGTTAATTATGCATCAGCCATGGCTTTAGTTTTTATGGGAAAATATGAAGATGCATTAAAAGTAGTAGACAAAATGCTTGAAACACCTGAGACTGATGCTTTAAAGGTTTTTATTTTATTAAATTTAAACAGAAAAGATTTAGCAGCTGCTGTTGTAAGAAAATCTTCACCTATTCAAGTACACAAAAATGTCTTGTTTATTAATTATGACTAAAAAATGAATTAATTAATCAAAGAAAAAAAGAAGAACAATTTTGAAAATTGAATTTGTTTTTCTAAAAAAAATCAATTATGGTTTTAGAATTACTGTGTAAAGAAACAAGAAAAGCAAATGTTATTTTTGAAAACATCCTAATAAGTAATTTGTTTCGTTGATTACCTTTTGTAGCTCTTCCATTTGAGCAATTATCTAAAATAAGTCATTAACTAATTAATTAAATAATAAACAAACAAAAACAAACATTATTTTTTGAATTATCATCAGAATAAACATAAAGAGCTTTTTGACATGTTAAATATGCAACTTTAGCTATTTGCAATGTTTTTAAATAACTCTCTTTTAATTCAGCTTGAATTTGTTCTGTGTTTTGGTTTGATTCTATATCATCTATATGACTTGATGCTGATATTTCTTGAACAACCTCAGGTTCATAATCCCAAGGTGGAACATCATTATTTAATCTTACAGCAAGTTTATCATCACTTAGAGTAAAGAAATCAGTATTGTTAAATTGTTCATTCAATGCACTTGTCCATTGTTCTTGAGAAACTCTAAATTGTTCTAAGTTAGAAAAGAAATACCAATGGTCGATAATAAATTGTTGGATGTCTCTTTGTAAAGTAAAGAAATCTCTTTTATTATATTTATGTTTTAAACTATACACAATCAATCGAGCAATAAATATCCATTGTAATGGTTGTCTTTCTAATAACATTTGTTGTTTATCACACAATGGACAAAAACATAATTTTAATGACATAGATTGTTGTTTCATTGGGTCACTATCGCTTGTTCTCCCTGATGCAGAAAACCCATTATAATAAGGAGGTGGTTGAATTGGGTTCATGAATTTTAAGATTTAAAAATTCCTTTCACTTTTTTTACTTCAATAAAAAAGAAAAAAATTGTTTTTTGATTTTATCTTTTGTTTAGATGATTGTATTTTTGTTGGAGGGAAAAGCCACAAATCATAAGATCTTGACCTACTTTAATATAAATTCAATTCATTGTCAACTGGTCTTTTTGTCATAAACATTGTAAAGGAAATAGTGGCTATAATCATTGGAAATGATGGAAGAATACCATAATATGATGGACCTATGAAAATAGAAACTGGGGTTGATGTTTGGTCAATAAAAGGGATAAATGTAGACTGTAAAGAAATCCAAGAAGAATGAAGGAATGAAAGAACAAATAAAGAATTTGTTTTTAGAGCAAAGAAACACAAAAACACTCCAAGGAAAAATTGAATCAAACAAACCATTAAAATACCTGTATAAGGCGATCCTGGATAATTTTCATATGGATAAGAATCACCAAGAATGACAAGAATAATACTGTATATTGCAAATATAAAAGAAGAAATAAATGCAGAGAAAAGGGGATGAAGAGATTGAAGAAGTTCATTAAATAAAAAATGTCTAAAAACATATTCTTGAGAAAATGCTATTCCAAATGAAGTTATTGATGAAATTAAAATTTGGATAATAATTGAGGTATAAACAGTAAATCGTATCCAATTTTCTGATAATGAAATATTATTTAATTCATTAATTTTTTGTTGATGTGTTACTTCACCCATTACATTTAATGAACACATTGATGGATTAATACAAAAGAAGATAAATGATCCAAATGTCATTAATACTGGCATAAGTACAAGAGAAATAACATACCACCATTTTTTAATTTGTGGTTCTTCTATTTTAAGCGTTGAAATTGTCACATGAAACACTTTTTCTGAAATAAATCCAGCAATGAATAATAAGAATGCAGGAATAATTAAAGTAAGAGTTTTCATCATAGAATAATTATATGAATATATTTTCCCAGATGGTAATAATGTTAATTGTAATCCATAAACAACAATGAGAGAAACAACAATATAAACACAGATAAATAAATAATGTATTTTAAGTGGTAAACTAATTAAATTGTTTAATAGAAACATTAAAATAACAATTTAAGTTCGTCTTTTGATAACATTTTTCTAAGAAAAATAAGGAAATAATAACTGAACAAAATGAGATTGTAACATAAAGATAAAACTAGAAATAACTTAGTTATTTAAGTATTATTCTTTTATTTTAAAATTATATTAAAAATTTAAACAATTTGAATATATTCTTGAGAACTTAAAATATAAAACGACCCTAATGGCTGAAGAACCTACTTGTAATACTAAAGAAGAACTTATCAATGAAGCTAAAGAGATGAAAGAATGGTTTGAAAATGAATTAAAACTTCAATGGAATCCAATTGCTTATAATAACCCTGATGTTAAATTATATGATTTACCAATGAGAGGATATAGTCATAGAACTCGTTGTAGAGTTCATTGTAATTGTACTTTTGAACAGATGCTTAAATTTAATCAAGAAACAAATATTGATGAATTAAAGAAATATGATAAGTCTCTTTTGAATTACGAAATTTTTGATCAAGTAGAAGGTACTAATATTCTTGTAACACACACTGCTTTTTCAGTTACTTGGCCTGTTACTGCAAGACAATTTGTGTCTCTTCACGATAATTATCCAACTGAGAATGGACATATTTTCATTCAAACATCAATTAAAAATGATAAAGTTAAAACTAATAAAAAGTATGTCACTGCTTATAAGAAATCTGCACTCTTAATTGAAAAAGATCCAGAAGATCCTAAAAGATGTTATATTGAAAGAATTATTGAAATGGATCCACGAGGAAGTATTCCTACTTTTGTAGTTGCTTCAAATAAAACAAATGATGCTGAAAGAATGTGGGAAATGAAACTTTTTGTTGAAGAAAAAGTAAAGAAAGGTGAATTATAAATTTCTTTT